TACATTTGGTATTGATCTCGCTTCCTGCACAATTCAGTCAATTTAAGGTCAGTTATAACTACCAGAAGGAGAAATGGTCTCTAAATGAGCTCATTTCATATTGTGTGCAAGAGGAAGAAAGGTTGAAGCAAGACAAAACTGAAAATGTTCATTTGGCAAGCACTTCTATGTAGGGTTGTCTGAGCTACCGAAAGCCAAATGATGGTGAAAGACACATCTATGTGGGTGATGGTAAGTCGGTGGAAGTTGATGTAATAGGCACTTTTCGGTTATTGTTGACAACTGGTCATTATTTGGATTTGAAAGACACTTTTGTTGTACCGAAAGCCAAATTTACCCTGATTTAAATATACGGTATAACTGCCGACAAATGTCACCCTCATGCCTGTGTTGAATACTAAATTCGTGGACTAAAGTCGGCAGGACATCAATGTCCCAATGCTGCCGAACACATGCTCGTATGAACCTATCGATCAATGTCAAATCTTACCTGTATATCAAATTTCATCATGCGATGCTGCTATCAAGTGAATCCACCATGGTCATGCCTTGGCTATTGTCATATCACGAAATGAACCCGATGTCTTGCTTCATTCCTCCCTGAATCTGTACATCATCTGGACATCTCGTATGCCTTCGACCATGACATGGCATCGCTGCCATTTCCATTTTCCTGGTAAGTGTCCTCGTACTTTCCCATAATGTCAATCTCGAGATATTTTGCTTTTAACCACTGATTTATGGTAAATTTAACTACTAGTCACTAAACTTTTAGGGAAATTTTATTTGGATCCATAAACTTCAATTTATCTCAATAGGTAACTAAACTTCAGTGTATCAATAGCTGCACAATATTAAATAATTGTTGTAGAATTTCATTACATTGATTGAGTTGAAAAAAATGCTGCCAATGTGTCTAAAGACTGAATATATGCTTCAGAAATACACCTTGTATACATATGTAATTGACTTAAATTACTTATTATGATTTTCAGAACTTAAAATTTTCTAGAAAAGTAACTTTTAAGAATGACTCGAACTTCCTTCCTTGGTTTGGTACTACGTTCAGCCTTACAGCTCATTGAAGCCTCACCTCCAATTTCGATTAGTCTATCTCTCCTTAATTTATCTTCCTTAGATTTCCTATAGAAAATAACCCAAGAATTCTCTTCCAATGCAATGCAAATGCCAATGAGAGTAGACAAGCACAAAGAGTATGCCAACATAGCATAAGACTTGCTTTCTCCCATCACTTGGAATCCCTGAAAACAATTAACAACCCCTATACTACACAAGCATAACCTACAAAATGATGGTATGATTTCCAATACTTTCCGAATTTTTGTTGTTGTTTTAGGCCTAAACAACAGAGCTAGTGTTTGAAGCCACTCGAAGCAAAATGCTGTGTAACCCATTTTCTGATGAAGTTCAGGTGACAATTCCCTTAGCCTAATTGTTACATCTCAAATTTTTAGTCAAAAGTCAATGGTTGAATTGTCAAGGTCAAGGTCAATATGGACTTAATTGGAATAATTTATTTTTCTTGGGGCTTATGTTATATTAAAGATAATTGAAGGTTAAGGTGGTTTAAATTAAAAGATGAGGACTTACTTACATTATCTTGGGAAGTGGGGGACTTCTTTTGCAATAATCACATAACTTAACCATTTTTATCACCCAATTCCCACTTTCATCCTCCCAGCACGCAGAGAGAGACCAGAGACCGAAAAAGGAGAGAAAAAATAGGGAAGAAAAAGGGAAAAAAAGAAGGAAAAGGAAGGGAAACAAGAGGAAGAAAAAGAGGAAGGAAGGAGAAGAAGGTAAGAGGGTTATCAAACTTGATTTCGATTTTTATTTTAGCTATTTTCTTAGAAGTAGAGATATATTATGTTAATTTCTAGGGTTTTAATTGGGTTCGAAAATTTCAATTTTTAGGGGACAAATCATGATTTTTAGTTCAAGTTTCCTTGGTGGTTAGCTTCCATTTACATTTAAGGTAAGAAACTCTATTTTTGGGTAAACCCTAGATTTTCTATTGGATGCTTGAATAAGTATTGTTAGTGGGAATTGTAGTGGTGATGTAATACTTACAAGAAAGCATGATTTTATGGAAAAATATGTATATTTAATTGGTTGGATGTTAATTATTAGTTGTTACTTGATTGAAGGAGATATTTGTAGTTAATCTTAGAATGAAGGTTATGTTGATTTATTGGGTATTAGTAAATGGACTAGAAAATGAAATTGGTCCCATTTGATTAAAGGAATAATTTGGGACATCTAGTCAAGTATCGAGAAATTTAGTTGTAGTATTATAACATTGCATTTTAGAGGTTTCTTAACTTGATAGTGGTTGAATTAGTTATCTTGTATGGTTTTTCAGGTGGTGACACAGAGATTGGAAAAGCCTACCGATCTTCTTAGACTAGCTTATTTTGAGTGAGTGGAAAAACTTATTTTTCAGAAATAAATAGTTATTGAATTTATATCGTATTAGAAAGTTAATTATTTTATATAACTGGTTTAAAAGCATGATTTTTCAGAATCAAATGGATTTTATACTCAATTCTTTTAAAGTTAAATTAAGTTCATTTGATCATTTCTCTAGCATGTTGTATCCATATGTTATATTTCAGTATATTTAAAGTTATTTTAAAACCACTAGAAAGTACCCAGGTGATTTTACCCAAGTCTGCACTGATGTGAATGTGTTTCCACAGTGTATGACATCATATGGTTATTTTACCCGACCTGCACTGATGTGAATGTGTTTCCACAGTGTATGGTCAATTATGGTGATTTTACCCGCTCTGCACTATTGTGAATGTGTTTCCATAGTGTATGACCAGATTATAGCTCTGCGCGCGTATGACCAGAATTACAGAATTTTAGAATTTCAGAATTTCAGAATCGAATAGCTTTGCCATGTATATCGGTACTTATCGATACATGAATAAGGTTATTCAGGGTACCTTTTGGTGTGATATTTCAGTATTTCTACAGTTTATTGGATTTTCAGTTATAGAATTCAGATTAGTCAGTTTTCAGTAAATAGCTTTCAGCTTATGGCATTGATCAGTAAAAGATTTCAGAGAGTTTCATTTATACTAGATTGCTTACATTCGTTATGCTTTATAGTAAATTATTTAGAATGAAGAATAAAGGATTTCATGATGCAGTCATGTTTTAAGTTTTTCTTTATTTAAAAGTATTATTTGATTTCATATTTCCTTAAAGTTGCAAAGAGGAAGGATTTTCAGGAAATGTGCATAAATGAAAGGAAATATTCTTATTTAAAATTATCCACTCACTGAGTTGCAAGCTCACATATTTTTTTCCACTTCTTTTCTTATCAGATAGTAGCTGAGTTGAGCAGCATTGGAGCCTAGTTGTCCACCGTGTAGAGCCACATTTTGTCTATAATTGTATGACTCATTTTGTCAATTTACATAGAACATATTTTTGGGGTACATGCATTAGTTGTCAGGAAGTTAAGGTTGTAATTTGATGTATCCATGTCATGGGCTCATTGCATCTTGAGTATTTTGAGACTTTTGAAGTAAAATGGTTGTAATTGTTGACTTTCTTGCTTTGTTTTCGAATGGTTGATTTTGAGGGACTGGTGTACCCTATTTAAAAATATATGTTCTGGTTGGAGATGTTTGATTATTTTTTCAGGTGGTTTTAGTCCAAATTACAGGGGAAACTCTGTTAAAATTTTTATAAAAGTGTGTCACAGTTAGAACAAGTTATAGACGCCTTGGTGGTAGGTCCAGCACTTAGTTGGTATCTATCATCGGCGCACGACACGTGTCAGGTCTATTAGGGTGACTTGGGACGGGTCGTGACACTAATTCCGATAGAAAATCCTACAGTTCCTAAGAAAACTGCATAAAGTTGCACTCCAGCATGTGCATAAAACCACACAAGCCATAAAGCTTGTATATGTCTTAAGTATCGCGCAGTTATAGCTCCTATCAGAAGTAAGATTCCCCAAGAAATCGAGTTTATGATGCTGTGAATGATTTTTAGTGTCATGATATTGTTGTTGTGTGCCTTGGCTGTAGTTGCAGACAGGACATCAATTGTGGCTATGGATGCAAGATCATTGATTGCAGATTGATGTATAGTTGGGAAGTACCCTTGAACATATAATCCACGGTCCCATACGTAGTAAATCTTCATTTTATTGGGGATGATTTTGAATGCGGCATATATTTGAATAGTTGCAACATCGTGAATAGTGGCCATATGACCACCGTATAAGGTGGCGGAGGAAGAGAGGAGGTGGATGTCTAGGGGGCGGTAGAGTAGCGGTGTTCGTTGGAGTTTTACGGTGGGGTCTAGAATGTAAGATAGTAGGATGAGTTGGCCGGAGTTGGGGTCGTGGAAAGCAATCAATGCTCGTGTTCCTGTCATTTCAGGAGAAATCGGATTAATCCCCGAATCCAACCCAACCTGAAGGAGATATGAAAGTACCGAAGAAGACGAGATCAATGGTGGCATTGTGTGATGGAATGTCCAAGCGATTGCGGCTTATTGAGTGGGGAGTATCATGGATTTTTTTGAAAGTTTTGTATACTGTTACATATGTACAATGCGAAGAAAATGCAACATCTACTACCTGAAGAAGAAGAAGAAGGAGAAGGAGAAGAAGAAGAAGGAAAAAAATGACTTTTAGCAACGTTTTTACAAACGTTACGAAAAGTGACCATTCACAACGTTTTTCGAACGTTGCAAAAAGTCTCACTTTTCGCAACGTTCAATGAACGTTGCAAAAAGTGAGACTTTTCGCAACATTCCAAAAACGTTGCGAAATGTCACTTTTCGCAACATTCACTTGAAAAACGTTGCAAAATGTCATTTTTCGCAACATTCACTCACACGAATGTTGTAATTGACCCTTTTAGCAACATTTAATCAATGAATATTACCTTTTAAGTGTTACTAAAGCCTATTTTTGTTGTAGTGCCATATAGTAAATTTCGCTATGATAAAATAATAATTTACAATAAATAAATTGTGGTTTTATTTATTTATTATTAAGCATGCAAATTAAAGTGCTTATGATCACTTGTGAAATTTGATGTTGTAAAATCTGAGCACACAGATAAACTAAGAACATCGAAATTGATCAAACGGAGGATTTAAAAAAAAATTATGACGCCGAATAAGCAATGTATGCAGTGCACGTGCTGCGGAATGTATGGTGGGATGCTCAACCTATTTTGTGCACGTCCCCACCCTTTGTATGAGAGAGAGAGAGAGAGAGAGAGAGAGAGAGAGAGAGAGAGTGGAAAACAAAACGTGTTTTGGATGGCAAAATCATATGGCAATTTGGAAAATTGGAAGTTGAGCCTTCAAAATTTCTTGATTTTTCCTATGCAATTAAAATCAATTTTCAGATAATTAAAAAAAATATTTTTTATTATTTAAATATATTTATAAAAAGTATTAAGAAATATATTTTTTTAACTTGATTAAATTCTGAAATTTTTTATAAAAACAAGAACATTTATTAAGTGTTATTTGTCCATTGAGAGTTATTTTTTTAAAAATGCTCTCATTTTTTTTAAAATGAAAATATTTCGAAAGTATTTAAAATACCACGTTTTATATATGTTCATGAGTTGTATGGGTCCCGATTAGGTTTTGTGATCTGTCCAGTTTCTAATTTTTATATTTGATTAGATATGGACGGGCACACTTTTAGCATATCCTTAGAGACGATGCTAGTAAAGCACGGCTGTGGAATGTGTTGAAAAATTATGTGCTTATCGAAACCATGAAATAGATCCACGACATAATCGGCACAACACATAAAATATCTCGAAGCAACGCGTCAAAAAGCTATACATTTGGGACAACTTATATGTGAGGTAGAGAGTGTATCATCTAATGTGGACTTTTCCTAAACATTGGAACGATAGAGCTATTGAAATTTTGGATAATTCACCACCTTCCTACAGCTATCTGATCAGGATTTAGATGAGGAAATGAAATAATGAAAATTTTGTAATCATTTTGTCTATGTATGGTTAGTTCAAAATTGTCGAACAATATTCCTGTAATATCTTTTTCATGTTTAGTAGTTGTACAAAAAAGTTTAATATGACCGCATGTACATATGTGATATTTTGTGATTTATATATATGTTTTATGATTATTACATAGTCAAAATATCTTGCTTACTTTATACATGCATGATTGCTTAATTGAGTGGGAGTTCTAAGGTTGAAAGAGTTTAAGTAATTCTGACTTGGAACTTATTTTGCGTTATGAAATTAATTTTGTGATAATATAACATTAGGATAATCGACGAACTTAGTGAACTTTCGACACCATATTTAGTGTTGAATATCGTAAAACTTGATTTGCATGAGTGTAAAATGATATGTAAATGAACATTCATATGATTGTCTGTAAAATTTTGACAGACCATAGCATCTAAGATATGACATCATTATGAACACAGTCCCAAGGTATGGAATCCCAGTGACCAAAATAAGGGTGACAAATTGAATGGCGATAACTTTAACACTTAGCACCATAAAATCGGGTATATGCTGGAGGAACGGGATTGCTTTGAAGGCATTAAGCACGTGATGGAAGACTCAAGGGTGGGTCAAACTTCACAACAGAGAAAATATCAGGAAACTTACCAGATATGGAAAAAGAATGCTACAAACTCTGTTGCCACATTGGAAAACGCTATAAGTGTTCGCTTAACACTTTTCCAAGATATAGCTACTCCAGCCATTAGGAAGACATAGCTCGATGTAGATCTCCTACTATCTTGGCATACAACAAAATTAGAATCAGAAAAACCATGATCTCCTATTGGTCTGATTTTTTTGTATGTGAGCATGTAATCTTTTGTTTTCTATAGATACCGTATAACCCCGCTTGGCTACTCTCCAATGATCCATCCTAGGGTTACTTAAATATCTGCCTAGCAATCTAATAATGAATGTTATATCCAGATGTGTGCATATCTAAGCATACATCATCAAACTCTCAACTGTTGAAGTATATGAAATTTTTTGCATTTCCTTTCTTCAAGATCATTGATTGAGATTGTACTTGTCTCCCTTAGCAACAGGGGTATCTCCTAGTTTGCAATCCTGCATCTCAAATCTTTTAAATACCTCATCGATATAGTTTTTTTGTGATAATTCAAGAATACCCCGAGAAGGTTCCTAGTGTATCTGAATATAAATCTCTAATATAAATCTCTTAGTTTCGTGCAATAATCCTATATCATTGCAGGCTAGTAGTATGTCATCGACATACGATACCAGGAATATATATTTACTCCCACTAAACTTGTGATATACACAATCATCAACTGCATTTATCTAAAAACCAAATGAGATAATTATTTAATGAAATTTGTAATACTATTAACGAGAATCAACTTTATCTTCCCTCGCAGACTCTAATCCTCAAAGAATCAACCTAGGACCTCTAAGAGTATCCAATGAAATAACAATCGACAATTTTGGAGTCTAGTTTCTTTTCATTAGGCCTATAAGGTATTGCATCAGTTGGACAACACCAAATGTGTAAATGCTCTGAACTTGGCTTCTTGCATGGCCAAAGCTCATAAGGGGTTTTAACAGTTGCTTTACTTGGAATTCTATTGAGAATATAAGCTGCAATTTTCCATCCTTCTCACTACAGATATTCTGGTAAGGTGGAATGACTAATCATACTCATCATGTTCTTAAGTGATCTATTTTTTCTTTCAGTGATACCATTTATGCTAGTAGAATATGGCACGGTGTACTATGGTGCCAGTTCCACATTCCTCTAGGAATTTAGCAAAAGTCCCTGGGCATTGTTCTTTCGATCCGTCATATCTGTCATAGTATTCACCACCACAGTCAGATCTGACGTATTTTATTCTTTTGCTATTCAGCCTTATAAGCTTTGAACATGTCCAATGATTAGAATTTCTCATAAATGAGATACAGGTAGCCATAGTGAAAAAAATCGTCTATAAACGTAATAAATTATTGTTGACCATTTCAGGAAGCCGAAAGGATTGCCCACATATATTCATATGAATTAGTTCTAAGACGTCAGAAGTTCTATTGGCATCCAATCTCTTTATATTTGTTTGCTTCCCCTTAATGCAATTAACACAAGTATTTAAGTTTGAAAAATCAAGAGGATTAAGAATTCTTTCTGCAAGAAACTTTTCGATTCTCTTTTTAGAGACATGACTTAATCCTTTATACTATAATGGAGCGGAATTCTCATTCACTAATATACATTTAATACATGTGAATTCACGTGTAAGATTTCATTATAAGAGGCAACCAAATTAAGCAAATGTAGATTATCATATCCAGATAAAGAATCGGTATCCACAATATTTGAATCAACAGAAAAAGACTAAATTTATTGTTTTCAAATGAACAAAAATAATCAAATTGTCCAATATGGAAATAGAAACCAAATTTCGTCTAAAAGATAGTATCACAAAAGTCTCTTTCAAATCCAAATACAACCAATGTTTCATAATAATCTAAAAGTTTGTATAGCCTCAACTTTAGTTGATTTACTGTCACCCACATAGATAAATCTTTCAGCATCATTTGACTTTCGAATGTTCAAACAACTCTACATAGATATAATTATATATGTAGTGGCACCAGAATCAATCCACCAAGTATATCTAAGTACTGAAACTAAATTAACCTGAGAACAAACAAAGTGAGAAACATACCTTTCTTTACATGCCAGTGTGACATTTAACTCAATCCCTCTTCAAGTGTCCTGGAATTCCACAAAAGTAGCAGTCAAATAATTCATCTTTTTAAGCTTTTGTTATTTCTTTTGAGTTGGATCGGATGCAGTTCCCTTATTCTTTCTTTTCTTAAACTTGGCCTGACAGGTTAGTACTAGCCAAGTGAGCACTTTCTGCTCTTTCTTGCACATAGTATGAAACGAGCTCATTAAGTTAACTTCTCCTTTGACAGTTATAATTGACCTTAAATTGATTAAATTGTGCAGGAAGAGAAATTAAAATCAAATGCACGAGCAAGTCATTAGACAGTTCAAGCTTTAATGCTTTTAGTTTTAAAGCAATATAAGACATTTTCATGATATACTCTCCAATATTGTCTTGGGGGATTCGCTTAAAAAGCCTAGTCAACCATAATGTTTGGTAAAATAGCCTATATCAATACTTATTGTTCAAATAACCTGAAGTCTATTTGATCATATATTAAAAGTCTTAAATACCTTTAAATTGAAATGACTAAAATGTCTGATTTGGAGTTCAATATTTACCATATCCCCAAACATAAATCCCTAAATTCACCCCAAATCCTTCATCATTCTAACGTTTCCAATCCCCCTTCAAATCCACTTTCACCATGTTAGACCAGCTTCAAATCCAACTTTCTTCTTCTTTATATATACATTATGTACACTCTGAAGTTTCTTTATTTTAACCAAGGATAAATCAAACACTGCAAATTTTGAAAGTAGGTGAG